ATGAGGTCACTAAGAGTTGGAACTGACTCAATGGAAATGAGCTTGTTTTTTGTTTTGTTTTGTTTTTTTCTTGGAGAACTAGTTCAGTTCATTAGGATCTTTAGCATTACAAAATTCAGCACTCAAGAGCTTGAAGATTCCAGGGGCCACTTTGCCATGACATGTCTACACTCCATGGAATTAACACAGAGGGAGACAGCGCCAAAAATACAGAGAAGGCTAATTGTTCAAGACATTGGTTGGGCCAATGTATGCAGCAGACTGTATGATCTGTGAGCAAATGCTAATATAGTTTGGAATAAAATATAAAAATTATTAGTGCTCACATCCTTGAAGGAAGCTCTGGAGTAAATACTGCTCAGCATTGGGCAGAAATAGCCAAGTTTAGACGTTGGCTCCATGTAGTGTGGCCCTGGGCAAAGTCATTCTGTGTGTGAAACAGAGGAGGGTCAAATAGGAGATGAGAGACACAGACCCTCCTTCAAACCTACGTACCAGAGTTTGGCAGAACAACCTTCTGTGTGGTACCTATCTGTGTTGAACATATAGCTGTGTAGCAGAAGTTCTTTAAATATCTCAGTTTTATGAGTCAAAATTCCCTGTTTTTCTTTGTCTTTCCCCAAGACAGTTGGAGCTCAGTTATTTTTATTTACAATGAAGGTAAGTGCTATGCTTTATTCAAAGCTAAAGTGCCTAGGGAAGGTCAAGATGCACATTTTTAAAAGCAGCTTTTGGAATAAATTTAAATGACTATCAGTCAGCATAATTTCAATCACTTATGTAGATCAGGCTCCACATTTAGGCTTCAGCTGGCCCACACATTACAAGTGGCTGAAAACTGAACATGGGAGAGCTTTGTTTTATTAGGCATATGGTTTTAGGATTAAGATTGATAAACCATTGGGGAAGAAGACATTTGGTTTGAAAGTAAAAATACAAATAAAATCCAGCGTATTTGTTATTTGAATGATTTCTACCACAATGGGAAGGTAGATTTCTCAGTATTGCCTCAGGTCAGAAAGATCTTTTCTAAACTGTTTATCTCTTAGCAATTCCCATATTTTCAATAACAGCATGTGTTTGTTTCTGAGAAACCAATGATTTATATCTTAATAATGCCTTCTTTGTGCCTGCAAGTGACCAGTTTTGCAATAGGGAGCACGAGCGTCAATGAAAACAGGACTGCAAGGTCACATGAAGCAGGAGTTCGTATTAAATTATTTTTATATGTACTTAAGTTCATTTCAAATCTAGGTAGCTATTTGGTTACGTTCTTGAAGTTCTAATATTTAATTTTATACAAATATGAATTACATTTGAAATTCCAACACCCCCAAAATATGTGTATATACATAAAAGTAATTCATGTAGTCACATACACACGTACATGTATGCACATCTGTGTACAGAGATATGTATCACTCAGAAGGACTTGCTGTTGAACCACAGTGAGTGTGATTGATTGGTGATTTCTCATATTTCCTTCTCAGTCTCACAAATCAGTTTGCTGTGTTGTGGCTTGCGTGTGGCTGGGATGTTGGAAGCTGAGCTTCCAGGATTTCAAAACCCAGAGGACCACTGAAGATTGCACAGATCTCACTTGCATTTTCAGATTACGTCAGACCAGGAACAAGAACCTGATAATCAACTTCAATAAAAATTGGCTAATATAAACCGAAAGGTAACTGTGGCACATTGTCTGAAATAGTGCTGGGAAATCAGGCCTACTGACTGGAAGGTAACAAAACTATGACTGTGGAGGAGCTTCCTTACAATGTAGAGTCAGTCTTAAGGACATAACTGGGATAAAACGTTGAGACCTTATGTTGCCTGTGTGGCATTCTTAAAACGAGAAGAAACAGCTGCAGCATCTATTAACACTTAGAACAAGGAACACACAAAGTATGTATCAATGAAACTTGGAAGTTGTCAAAATTAAACGAAAAAATACACTAGGCATTTGGGCACTGAAATAGGGAGGTATTGGCTATTTGTAACAATCATATTTGGACAAGTTGCACAGAAATAGGGAGGTATTGGCTATTTAGAACAATCATATTTGGACAAGTATTCCAGGAATGACAAATTAAAGAAGAGCAACACTACATTTGTCATCAAAAAGAATGTCCATGTCTATCCTGAAGTACAACACAGTTCAGAATTATATATATATATATATATATATTCATAAAAGGAAGATCAGTCAACACATATTATTAAAATTTAGCCATTAACCACTAACGCCAAGGCTGATGATATTGAAATGTTTTACTAAATTCTTGAGTCTAAAATTGATCAAATATGCAATACAAATTCATTGATAATTACTAGTAATTTATATGTGAAAGATGGAAAGAAAGAAACCATGGCTTTACTGAGAGAAATTATGCTGGAAATCATGACAGGATTTTGCAAGTCCAATGCCTTATTCATTACAAATACCGTTTTCAAAAAACTTAAATGTAACTGCATACATGGACATCTTCAGATGAAGTACAGAGGAATCAAATCATGTTCATCTTTGGAAAGAGGATGGAGAAGTTCAAGATCATTAGTCAGAACAAGACTAGGTATTGACTGCTAAGCAGACCATCAAATGCTTGTGTGTAAACTGAAGTTAAAGAACATTTTAATAATTCCATGGAAGTCAGAAAATTGAGTATATGCCAAATGAATTTACAGACCATGTCAAAACCAAATTTGATGCATTGAACACTGATGATGGAAGATATTTTGTGAAATGAGATCTCAGACATCATCCATGAAGAAAGCAAAAGATCACGTAAAAGGCTAAAAAAGAACGAAAAATTAAGCTGGGTGTTGGAAGAGACTCAAGCTTGCTCTTGAAACTTAGAGCAGTTAGTGATTAGAAAAAATGATGAAATAAAAAAGCTGAACGTATCATCGAAAAGGGTGGTTCAAGAAAATTTTAAAAAATTTATAATGAAATGTGCAAAAACCAGGAGTTAGAAAATGAAAAAGGAAGATCACACTCAGCATTTCTCAAGCTGAAATAGCTATAGGAAAAAAACAAGCCTTGAAAAAAAATTTAAGCCTTGAGTTTTTGAAACTGCAACAATGAAGGATTTTATTAGCAACATACTGCACTATGTGAGAAACATCATGGGAAATGGAAGGTTTACACAGAATCACTGCACCCAAAAAAGTGTCATATATGATCAAGAATGATGAAATTGAAGAAATCCATTCAGCATTGAATGAAACACTTGTATAAAACAAGATTTCAGGAAGTACCAGAATACCAAACATAGATATCTCAACAAATACATGTGAAATGCTAGCATATCCCAACAACCTGACAATGAAGTGGAAGAGACTGATATAAGTACCATTTCAAAGAATGGTGACACAAAAGAATGTGGAATTTTTTTTAAAAACAATAATGCTAATGTCACAAACAAGTAAATTTTGGTGAATATAATTCAAAATTGGTTGAACCAGTACCCTGACCAGAATTCAAAATTAGTTGAAGCATTGTATTGACAAGGAAATGGCATAAATTCAGAAGACATGAAATGAAGGATGATATAACTGCTAATGGCAGATAGATCTTACATGAAAGCACAGCATACAAGAAAGATATCTAGCAGTGTTTTAGTTATTACGCAAAGAATTGCAACACATGGATGCTATGTGGAAGCACAGGTTTTGGAGGAGATTGGATCTCACTCACACAGAACCTGTATCTCGACTCGGAGGCAGTCCTGTAAATAGAGTAAGGTGATGCTGGATGGCTTAGCTCAGGTAAGCTGTTTTCCAGGGTTGAATCTCTGCGTTATATTTATGCATTCAGAAGAATTGCACATCATGATTAGAGGAAGACTAGCGAGCAACCTACATATGCAAATGATGCAATCTAGCTGATGGAGATGAAGAGGATCTGATGCTCTTACTAATTAAGACCCAAGCCTACAAGTAACATCATGATTAACATAGTAAATACAGAAGTTATCAAAGATTTAATTATAGTTGAATCTCTACTGAATGCTAGTGGATGTATTAGTCAAGATATCTAGAAATATATTGTTTTGGACAAATATGTTGTGAAGGAAGACCTTGTGAAAGGGCTTTGTTTTGTTTTGTTTTTTAAAGATGTCATTTGGCAGACTAAGCAACACCTGACCCAAGCCCGGGTGTACTCAAGCACCTCACCTGAACGTGAAAACTGTACAAAGAATAAAGAAGGGTGAAGAAGGATGAACACATTTGAGTTATGGTGTTGGTGAATACTGTTTAATATGCCATGGACTCCCAGAAGGGGAAACAGATCTGCGTTGGGAGGACAGCCAGGATACTCCTTGGCAGTGAGGATGGCGAGACTCCATCTCAGGTACGTTGGACACATGGTCAGAAGCGGTAAGTGCCTGGAGAAGAGCAGCATGCTCGGTAAAGTAGGGAGTTAACAACAAAGAAGAAGACATTCAATGACATGGAATGACACAACCCATCTGTCTCATGCCTGAAGCAATGGGCTCAGACATAACTCGTTTGCGGTAGTACAGTAGAGGGCAACATTTTCTTCTTTTGTACGTAAGGTAGCTATGAAGTTGGAACTGACTTAATAACACCAAACAAGAGATCCAAGGTATGTACTAGTGACCATGGTTAAGTCTGTGAGGGTTGGGACTGATGGGTAAAATGGCCATGACTCCATTGTGCTGACTGATTATAAGAAAACAACTGATAGCGATGCAAGAATTAAGCATTGCTCAACAATATTAGGCATACAAAATATATTTTGAAGACTCTTTTCCCTGAAAACTTGTTGCTGGAATGAACTAATCATATTTGTAAGCTTCTCTAGATAATCTATCCTTTTTTAAAAGATTTCTCAGATCCTGACTCTGTTGACACAATTCAGCGCTGCTTGGTTACCAAGTTTCTTAGGATTGACAGAAGCAATCACAGTAAATGAGCTGAGGATTTTTTCCTGAAACATATTATAGAAATAGACAGAACAAAAGCAACCCACATCTTACCTCCAGAGTGAGGCGGGGGACCGCAGAGCAGAACCACCCCCTGGCCTTCGCGCACCGATACTGTGCTTCTCGTTTGAGTCTTAAAATTCTGGAGAACTGATGTGAAAACAAAACAAAACATAATTTCAGAAAGGAAAGTAACATTAAAATTTTCATACACGGACATTTTCTTTTGGAGGATGAAGTAAAATTATATCCTTTAGGAACAAAAGGAAGAGAATATTTGCTTTGAGGAGAGAAAATGGGATTTTTATTTCTTCATTAAAACTTCTATGGTTTAGCAATACATACTAACACCCATTAATATTGTGCTTTGTTACAGTGTCAAAAATGACATGGTCTATCCAAAGAGGCAAAATATATATGAAAATTAATTAACTAGACAATATGATTCCAAGGAGGAAATTAAATAAAGGAAATAAACCAAAAACCTATTTAAGTCTGAATTCTCTATGTGCCACATTAAAATCCCCCAAATATTGGTAACTTTTGCCTCTCATCCTATAAAGTCTACAGACTTTTCAGCAATTTCTTTCCTTAAATATCTTATGATGATTAGTCTAAATCACATTTATTCATCTACAATCACTAGTGTTATTTTTAAAAGGGTTTAAAATGTTTAGTTTCTGGGTAGAACCCCTCATTTTCCATGTGTTGAATGATTCTGGGGAAGACAGAGCAACTTAGTATAACCCATCACCAAATAAGTGATTCAAAATTTAATAAGCAATTAAGCCCTTTCTATTGATCGCTGTGAAATGTTAAAACATTTTATAATCACCTAAGATATTTTCAATGTTTAGTAAAATTTAAAACATAGAACCAATAATATACACTACTTTCATCATCACTGTTTACATTAAATTTTTTTTTCTAATAATAATCATCCAGGGTAATGAATTCCTTCCAGCTTAAATCACAGCATAGAAAAAATCCAACTGGCATATTTTTAAAAAGCTTAATTCTGTGAGGGAAAAAAAGGGAAGAAATACCTACTGTTTATCTAAACACTGATTAAAAACAAAAGCTTGTGAATTAAATACCTAATGTAGTCAATGGTATCTCTGTATCAGAACAATTGCATTGTCAATTTGTGAGGGAATGCACTCACTTCTGAGCTCCTAAGAGCTAATATAAATTGCCTGGGTAGTGACAATATAAATTAGGGCAGAGTATTTGTATTTTGGAGCACGACTTAGAAAATTTCAACTCAGCACTGACAAATATAAAAAGAAAAATAATTACCCTCAAACAAATAAAATCATAAATCGCAGACAAGTATGACTATCCAAAGCCCGCCGGATCAGTGCATTGGGAGCAATAAGGACACCTAGGAGCTTCCTTCTACTCTTACTGAAAGAACAGCATTAAATTGCTAGCTTATAACCACAGAGTCAAGCGATTCAGCAAAATTCACATGCAGGTTAATAAAAGTAAACAATGTTTAAAGATTTATTTTGACCAGAGGTCATCCTATACAAATATGATATGACAGGACAGCATTGTATCATCTCAAATCTATAGCCACAATGCAACATTGTGAAAACATTAAGGTCCTTAAAGGGTAACTAAGTTGGAGCTGCACAAAGGGGCCATCCAAAGGCTTCGCAGTGACTAAACAGGAATGTCCCACACGTTAAAATGTAACCTGTGCATGGAAAGGCCATTTTAAAAGATTATTTTCTGGCAACCGACTATATATGATCGCTGTTACTTTCCTGCCCAATTCCTTGATTTCTGCTACTACACAAGTCCACACTCTGCAGGGTATTCATAACTAATTTAGTTAGAATGTGCAAGAAAGGATAAAATGATTCTACAGAAATTAATGCTGTCTCTTCCAAAGGTGAAATATCTTTTGCCTAGACACAACCACTGTCCGGCGCAGAGGTGGCCATTCCTCCGACACTGCCACTGAACGCATTCTGCGGCTAGCAACCACAACGCTGTTGCCATTGAACTGATTCTGAGTCCTGGAGACTCCATGGGTGTCAGGGTAGAAGTATGCTTACAGAGTTTTCAGTGGTTGATGATTCAGAAGTAAATCTCCATGGTGTTCTTCCAAAGATCTCAAGCTTCTAGTTAACAATGGAGTATGATGATGCCTTAATTTCCTGGGAACCGTGCTTTTAGATACTAAATAAGGCTAGACCTGGGAACACATGTATCAGAACAGCAAACAAAACTATGGGAGGTATTCATATGTTTCCTGTTTTTCGTTTGTTTTGTTTTGTTTTTGACAGCACAACACTGTGCTACAGTATATTGCCTTCCATAAAGCAGTATCTCCTGATTTCTTAGTCTTATGTTACTCGAAGTGTAGTGCAAGGAACACATCATATTTATCACCTGGAACATTTATCAGCTGGAACATATCACCTGGACAATTCATGTTTCTTGGAATTAAAATCTCTAGATGTTAGGTTGAGGGGTTTGCTTTCTTTATGCTCTTTGTTCTTGTTCAAAAGCACACACCAATTCAACTCTTTCGACCTGTAGGTGTCATTAAATACGTTATTCAAGTTGTTCTGCAATTCTCACCATTCCTTTCGGAATTGTTCCTCACATAAACATAAACCTTCTCCTCTACTGTTTGAAATATTGTTGTCAATTTAATCCTTTACACAGAGTTTTCAAGGGAGCATGATACTGAAGGCAGAAAATGTTAACTAGCTAAGCTAGACTGTTATTTTATTTTAAGAAGATTTCAGGGTTAATGCTTAAGATTACCTCTGGACATAGTTTAAGGGATTTATCCAGTCTCCAAGGCTCCAGGAATTATGGATTCCATAAGAATTCAAAATTCTGACCCACATTTTCTCCTTCTTGATCAGAATTCCTCTATAGAAGCTGTGATCAACATGTTCAGTAATGGCAGGTGAACACAATCCAGTCTCAGAGCTAAGGAGGTAGGGGTTGAAGGAGGCAATCAGCCAAATATGTTATGTCCCTCCCTTGCTCCTGACTCTCTTTTGCATCTGTTGCTCCAGGTAAACAGAGAAAAGAGTTATGTCTTGGATGGCTGTTTTCAACTTCAAAAGACTCCAAAGATTTGTATTTTTGCCATACTTGCTTATTGAATGCTATGCACACCAAATATCTCTTTGTGGTTTCCCATTAAGATTTATAGACATCAATGCTTTTCAATGCCATAAATACAAACATGTATCACCTTTTGGGAGCATGACGTACCTAAAGGAGCTCTGCAGTTACACCCAGGGATAAAGATTAGCTGGTTTGCTCCCATGAAGTTTTACAGCTTTGGAGACCCTGCAGTTCTACTCTGCCCTATAGGATTGCTATGAGTTGAACTCGATGACAATGAGTCGTCTTTGGGCTTGGAGAAAACAATGTTAAGCTTCCATCTATTCGATCAGGAATAGAAAAGGGAGCAGCATTACAACTGTTTACTGAAGGCCTACAACACATCTGCATGGTATACACGAGATTTAGCAGGGATGGATCATGGAAAGCCTTCTTGTAAGGAGACAACTAAATTCACAGTGAGACCTGCTCTAGTGCAGGGGAATACATAAAGG